CCAAACTATTCTCCATATTAGGCGCTAATGTTGTCGTCACCGGAAGGAAAGCCGCAGACGTCCAGAGAGTGGCCAAAGAAGTGCTGGAATTATCACCAAAGAAACTGAAGGTTTGAATAAATCAAATCAAAATTTGTTATGAATTAACATTACAAACATTTTAATACATTTCATAGCCGTTAGAAGTTGTGGGAGATTTGACTAAAGCAGAGGACGTGAAAAAACTGGTGGATAACACTATTAAAACATTTGGCAAATTAGACGTATTGGTCAATAACGCCGGTATATATCCTCTGACATCGATTGATATGACAAATTTGATGGAATTATGGGATCAGATCTTCAGTATCGACTTGAGAGCTGTCGTAAACCTTATCCACGAATTTGTTCCACATCTGGAAAAAACTAACGGAACTATTATTGATATCTCAAGTATCGCTGCATTAGCACCGGTAAAATTACCCTCATTCATTTATCTAATTATTAAATAATTAATTTTATTATTTCAAAATCAATGAATGTTATTTTTTTAGGGAAAACCAACGTTGGCCTACAGTCCGGCAAAAGCGGGGTTAGATATGTTGACTCGAGTACTGGCACTAGAGTTGGGACCCAAAGGCATTCGTGTCAATACTTTGAAGTAATTTTTAATTGATTATAATTTCAATAATCTATTCAATGAGTAATATGTTAAAACAAAATTGTTACTCTAATTTCAGTCCCGGTGCTACTGACGTGACCAAACCCGGTATGAATAATGATATAATCAGTGCGACACCATTAAGACGTATTGGTGAACCCCTGGACATCGCTAAAGGGGTGGTATTCCTGGCCTCTAGTGATGCTAACTTTATAACCGGTGCTAATCTGGTAGTAGACGGCGGACTCGTCTATAACTTTGGATCAGTTTTTAATTAATTAAAAATTAAATCTTTTAAAATATAATTAACACCTATAAGGACTATAATGCGATAAAATTAAGTCCATACTAAATTAATAAATAAACCATCACCTATTTTGTTGCTAAAGTAATAATTTTAATTGTCTAATAAACAGAAATTAAAAATATCAACAAAAAATATTTATTTTACAGTAAAAACATTATAAATGTAGCATTTTTTGCCGAAAATAATCAATCTCAATAATTAAATCAAAAGAGTCACTTCATAAAACTAGTTTATAGATAATGAATATAAAATTGAATATAACCAGTGAATAATGATGGTTGCATACAAATGTAAAATCAAAATAATAATTTACCATAAACGAAAATAGAGACAGTTATCAAATATT